ACCATATCATAACAAAAACTCCCGCAGTTGATGAGTATTTTGATATATTATTTAATTTTCTAGACAGAATACATTTTGAGATATTCGACTTTAAAATGTTGTAGTCCAATAAAAAACACCCTATATAATACAAGTATTTAACAGTATTAATGTATTTATTAATTTCTATTTCTATACACTCAATCATTTCAAATACAGTACATAATATTTAACAAAATAATTAAGGTATAATACTTACAGTATACTTACTTATAATACTAACTAACTTTCTTTTGAGATAAGTTTGTATAAAGTTAGAAGAAATTATTATGGTAAATAATGTGCTGCCATATAGTGTCTAGTAAACAGATTAATTAAAATTTTTACCATAAACTTGTGTTTGTAGTAATGATTTATAATTAATTAAATTCTATTTGTATTCATAACAATAATTATTTGTAAGTAACTTTCTAAAGGAAAATTTTTTGAAGATTTTAATGTTTAAAAATTTTATTTTTGAATTTATAAAATTGATAACTAAGAACCAAATAATAATACATTTTAAATTTATTTATAGTCATAAATATTACAATATTTCACTACAAATTATTTTGTTTTTAAACACTACAATTAAGATACATAGGTGTAATTATATTTTACAATGTTTTTATAATTTCTATCGTATTTCAATGTCAATGAACTAAATGTTAAATGTTAATAATAATTGTAAATATAGTACATAGACAAGTGTTTTAGTCAAATGTTTTACATTGATTTTATGGATTTTCAAATATAAAATCAAGTAATGATGAGAATATTCTGTTCAAATGGTGTTTTATTGAATTTTTATATTGGTTATAATGGTTGCATTTGGAAATATCAAGTTTTTAAATAAAGATACATTAATTGTAATACTGTTTATAACACTAATAATATCATGTTTTACGTTATATTTCAAGAAATCACAGGAGAATTTTGGTTTAGATGTCGAGTAAGTGTTGTTTTACTGTTTTAGTGTAAATTTTTTCAACAATTTTTTCTTATATTATATCTACTTCTAAAGTTTAGTGAAATATATTATAACTAAAGATCCGCCAAAATTGATGACAACACAAGAATTGACCAAAAATGCAAACATTTCTTTCATGATTGAGACAAAGGGTTGTCGTATTGAAGAGTTGCCTCTGTTTAACGATGAAGTGATGGACTTTTATATGAATACAACACTCATTCAAAATGTAATTCTTAATACTTGTTTAAAAACGAAAACATTTTATGATATAAACCGAGAGAGCGATGGAATGACAATACGGATGAATTGGACCAAATCTGGCTGCAAACCTATTTGTTACTATTCTCCCCTCAAATGGTCGCATGAGTTGGATCACCAATTCGAGCTCACCAATGGTTTGAATACATTTACCTATTATACCACGTTTCAAAATTGAAATAGTATTTAATTTGAATGGTTTATATTAGAGAATAGTTCGTATAAAATGGATACAGAATTGACAACAATTAAAGACGGCTATGAATTCGTCAAAATCTATTGCTTTAGAAATACGGATGAATTCTTTTTGTCACAAACGGCCCAATCCTTTGATGAAACAANTGACAACGGTATGACACGAACACATACTTTCTGGTATGGAAGCACTTTTGCAGTCCCTGTTATCTGGTATCTGATCCAATAGCGACAGACCGTGAGGTAATGTTTTGTTTGCCTCACCTAAATTGTAATTACTTAAAATATTATTATATTTACAAATTTATTAATATCTCCATATTATATTACATTTGTATTTTTTCATTAACTAAAAATCAATGTCACAAAAGTTAGATACAGTATTATTATTATAACCCGAGTAATTTTTAAATATAATTTATTATATAGTTTTAATTGAAATTCAAAACATNTACAGTATTATTATTATAACCCGAGTAATTTTTAAATATAATTTATTATATAGTTTTAATTGAAATTCAAAACATAATATTTTAGATACTATGTTATTAAGAATTTTAATGTCAACGCAAAAATATAGATTTTAAAAAAATTTAAGTTAATGTGTGACATATTTAAGTAAAAGTGTGATACATGACCTTTTTATGACCTCCAATATGTCCTTTCCTAAATCATTTATTTATAACAAAAAATATAATATAAATTTTAAATGTTTTATAAAATTCGTAATGCAATTACTGAAGACTGAATCCTAAGCAGGTGATTACTGAATCTTTAGCAGATTTGATTAGTATATAAAATTTCGTTTAGGAATATGTCATTTGCAAAATGTTATCCTTCTCGTTGGAGTATTTATAAGAGATTCCATTAGGAATATAATATTCAGATTATACAATGTATCACTTTCAAGTTAATAAAATGTATCTAAAGGTGGATCGGATTGTCCAGAATAAAACAATATTGTATTAACTATAATAAAGTTGTTATCAATTGTAAATAGTCAAATATAATGTTGTGTTTATATGTTCAACTTTCAAGTTAATAAAATGTATCTAAAGGTGGATCGGATTGTCCAGAATAAAACAATATTGTATTAACTATAATAAAGTTGTTATCAATTGTAAATAGTCAAATATAATGTTGTGTTTATATGTTCTACTGTATCTTCAATATAAATAGTATTGCTTAATGAGAGATAATGTAAATGTTTAAAACAGGACGTCCCAAAAGGTAGGCTTTGCCTATAGACAATACATTACAGTTTACCCTCATTCNGTTGTTATCAATTGTAAATAGTCAAATATAATGTTGTGTTTATATGTTCTACTGTATCTTCAATATAAATAGTATTGCTTAATGAGAGATAATGTAAATGTTTAAAACAGGACGTCCCAAAAGGTAGGCTTTGCCTATAGACAATACATTACAGTTTACCCTCATTCACCCGCAATTGGTATAAACAAAAACGTTGTTTAAAACAGATGACTCTTTAAAACAGTCCACAAACACTTACCATTAAGTATGTGGACAAGTGTTGCGTGAATATCAAAGGGAGTGATCAACTGTTTAGTATTGGTGTTGAAAACGGATCCGTATTTATCTCGTAATTGTTTTGGTAGTCTCATAAAGAGAAAGGGTAGCCGCGACTCAACCTCTTTGAAATAAAGTTCATTAATTGGAGACCAATCTGAGCCCTGATCTGAGAAGAAAATCACAAGCGTTTCATCTAATAATGTATTGTTGTCTTTCACTATCAAATCGTGTAAGAAATCGTGAGTCGAGTTATCCATAAAACCAATTTTGTTCAACGAGTCTTTGGTCCATCCGTTGAGAGACATGTATGCAAAGTATCTTTCATTTCTTGAGGCCATTAAACGCATAAAATCGTAAATATATTTATAGTGAGACTAACAATTAAATGGGAATAAAATTAATAAATTATATTTTACGATAATAACATAATTTCATACTCTTGCTCCAATGTCTCCATTATTACAAGTATTATCTTTCTTATACCCTTTTAAATAATAATCACTTATCATTTGTTTATCATCGGCTTTTAATATATAATTAATGTCTGGACTTTCTTCAAAAAATAAAGTAACAAAACCCCTTTGCGCGAATTCTTTCCAAATAATAGGCCATTTAGTGAAATCTATTGTAAAATCATCAAGAACACTATCCTTATTTGTTGGACTATGATATATTTCCTTAAGCTCGTATGCAAAGTACCCTGTTAATAAAGGTAAAACATTTTCCCATACATTTAAACCCACTTTATTATAGCCCTTAAATTGTTGGAAATGTGTGTTATTTAGAATGAGTTGAGATGTTTTGACGAGATGTCTGTGAAAATTGATATTCGATACAAACGGAATATTTATGAGCATCACATTTGGTAGAGAATCCCTTTCTGTTATATTCGGTACCGTTTTATTCACAATACTATTAACGGTGGGAATCAATGGTATAATATCTTCATAATAAACAGATCGTGCAATTGTTTCATCAAACGATTGGGCCGTTTGTGATAAAAAGAATTCATCCGTATTTCTGAAGCAATAGATTTTGACGAATTCATAGCCGTCTTTAATTGTTGTCACTTCTGTATCCATTTTATACGAACTATTCTCTAATATAAACCATATTCAAATCAAATACTATTTCAATTTTGAAACGTGGTATAATAGATAAATGTATTCAAACCATTGGTGAGCTCAAATTGGTGATCCGACTCATGCGACCATTTGAGGGGAGAATAGTAACAAATCGGTTTGCAGCCAGATTTGGTCCAATTCATCCGTATTGTCATTCCATCGCTCTCTCGGTTTATATCATAAAATGTTTTCGTTTTTAAACAAGTATTAAGAATTACATTTTGAATGAGTGTTGTATTCA